TATATATATATATATATATATATATAGTATATTATCTACTTTTTCTGCAACTTTTCTACTACTTTTTCAACATTTTTCTTCTCTAATAATTTAGATTTTTCTTTTTATAATGAAAGCTATTTTCCATGTGACATTTTGTCCAAACGCAGTGTGTGTTCCCTCACCAGCTGCTCCCCGCTCAGGACCTCCAGCAGCCGGGTGAGCATGTACCCATCCCTCAGGTCGTTGTACAGGTCAGAGATGCGACAGGACACTCTGGCCAGGTGGGAGTTGACCCACTTAGTGAACGTCTTCTTCTGCACTGCATCTCTCTCATCTGGAGGAAGGAAGCATGACGGTGCAGAAACGATGAACTCAGGAAGGTTTTATAAAAAAATAAGCTAGATAACGCTACTTTATTTGACTTGAGTCTTGTTTTTTAACCGTATAAACACATCTTTGAGTTCAATTTGAAAGAAAAAGGTACGAAATGATCAGCAAATGTTTCAGTTTCTCCTTTCTAGCACATTTACATGCATTTTACACTTATTTCAGGAATATCTGCTGTAATAAAGTTCATTTAGCAGAAATCAGAGCTGATTTTGGAGACAAAAAGCAGAAAGTGTGAATCTATTCCTCTCTGGTTCTGGTCAGAGGCTCTCAGGTAGATGGAAAACTCTGACTGCTGCCTGTCAGAACTCATCAGGATGCTGATCTGAAAGCATTTCAGGGTTTTTGAATGGCAGCAAATAGTCCGGCTGCTGTCCTCCCGGGTCAGAGTGACTGTTTAAAAAGTCTAAAAATCCCACAGCTCTGAGATACAGCTTTTAGTCAACTAGTTTCAGCACATCAGCAAAAAGTTTACCTTCATTTCTGGAATGGATGCTGGAATAGAGCTGATTTCCAGGAAATTAAACTAATTTTAGATGAAAAACAGCAGGAACTCTGGATTATTTTGACTATAATTTGGATTAGAGGCTCATATGTTTCTGTATTTCCACAGATAAGACGATATTCCTGAACCATCAGAGCCATTTTTAGGCATTTCATAAAGAAGAAAACCAAAGTTCTGACACATTAAGTTCAGAAACAGGTCGAACTGAGGGTTAAACAGGTGGAGTTACAGACTCCTCCTGACCTGCCAGGGCTTTGATGCGGGAGCACTCGAACAGCTTGGAGCTGGTGCAGTCCGTCTCCCAGAAGCCGGAGCTGACCGGCCGGTTGTTGTTGTTGAGCTGGCGCTGGGCTTCCGCGTTGTCCAGGTCTGGGGAGGCATTAGCCATCTCGCCCGACGCGCTGAGAGAGAAAAAATGCTGTGAGAAAAAGGCTGTTTCTGCCCGGCTGAGGGAGATAAACAGCAGCGTCTTATCAGTATGCAAACAAAATAAACACAATACGCATTAAAAACTGTTTCGGAAGTCTTCAGTTCTATCATTACTGCAAATAGTCACACAATTCAAACCGGAGATAACTGATTCTGGCTGGTAAAAAGCTTTTTATGATTGTTCTGACTCATAATCTCTGTGATAGCTTCTCTTCATTTGCTCCCTGTCATAACTTAATTTAACTAACAGCCGAGAATTACAGTGTTGCAGACTTCCAATTCAATTAAAAATCTTTAAAATGCTCTGATAATATGACCAAAAAACTGATTCCTGTTCATCAATAATGCAGAGTTACAAAAGCAGAGCTAAAAATAAGATCTATGATGTTGGTTCAAAGGGACAGAAATCTTTTTTTCCTCTTTCTGTCCTTCTGACAGCTGCGAACGGGACGATAAAAATAACCTCCAAACTTCTCAGAAGGTGAGAAGAAGTGGGAATCTGAGGTTTCTGCTCAGATTCTGAATATTCATCAGCATCAGCTGCATTCAGTTGAGCAGACGACGGGATGGTTTGATATAAAAAAGAAAGAAGCAAATATCATGGTGGAAATAATAGAGTATTTACTCCCCAGTGGTGGTTGGTGCATGTTAAATGTGTAGCATTGGCGAGAATACATTGGAACAAATTAGTTTCTTATATCTATTACTGAGAATAAATCATGCAAAAAAACTCCACTGACTGGCTGGAAAATCAGTGTGTTGCTGTCTTTACCCCTTTTTATATCATGTGAGTGTTTAAATGAAAGCATCCTTGTCATATTTTCTCTTTATAAAAAGTTATTTCTGCGTTTTGCCTGTTTATACCTGCAGGTAAAATGCTCAAAATAATAAGAAAGTCAAGCCAATTATTGACACATGCATCATATTTTTACACAAACGACCAACGATTTATTTATTACTATGACAAAACATTTGAACTCTTTATCAGTTTGTCCACAAGCAACCAAATTCACCACCATCAAACCCCCTATTATTGATTTTTCCCCACATTTTTGGACAATCAATTCAAAACCAGG